GAAGGCGTCATGAGATCTGGGGAAACATCATCTTGCCGTCGCCCGTGTATGTTTCGGTTTCGTGCGTTTTTTTTTCTTTCTTTTGCTCGATGGTCCAGGATGGTCCTCGATGGTTCTCGTCAGGAAAAAAATGCACACGTCCGAGCGATGCCAAGTCATGGCCCTGGCCATGATATCTCCGCCACCCCAAGTCATCACCCCCCTCTTGGCCGCCCCCGACCTGTCTCAGCACCGCCCGATCTGCGCAGGGGCCGAGGCCGAGCTCCGTCGAGCGGCGCGGATCCACCTCGATCTGGGCCCAGCTCGGCCGGGTCTTGACTCGGATCGGGCCTGGACGTCGAGAGGAAGGAGGGAGAGGAGGATCTCTGGCAGCCTGTCTGCCCCGGCACGCCACGCGCGGCGCGTGGCGTGTGGAGATGCGAGGCTCCACGCGTGGACTGTTGACGTAGGTCTGGGGCGATGCGTTTAGGTCGGGCACGTCCCCTTACCGGCGGATTATGGATGACATATCAAAACACAGAGTCCAAACATATTATCAACATAGCCAAACCTAATGATAACATCGTCCCCAGACTGTGTTTTGACTACCCTCCTCCTGTAGAGGGACGCGCCCGACTTGACGATACGTTCGCCAAACTGTGGGACAACGCGTGCCGAGCCCACACGCAGCGTCTCAGCGCGGAGGTTTTGACTGCGGTGCGCGCTGCGCTGCAGCACGCACCGTAGCAGGGCAGCTCACATGTGGCAGGGAGGAGGGAAAGGGCAACGAGCAAGGGGGGGGTCGAGCGCACGGATAGCAGAATGACGACGCGGACCGAGGAGCAGGAGGGGAGAGATGAGGAGGAGAAGGAGAAGGAGGAGAAGGAGGAGGAGGAGGAGGAGGAGGAGGAGGAGGAGGAGGAGGAGGTGGGGGAAGAGGGGGAGGAGGAGGAGGAGGAGGGAGGAGGAGGAGGAGGAGGAGGAGGAGAAGGAGGAGGAGGAGGAGGAGGGAGGAGGAGGAGGAGGAGGAGGAGGAGGAGGAGGAGGAGGAGGAGGAGGAGGAGGAGGAGGGGGAGGAGGAGGAGGAGGAGGAGGAGGAGGAGGAAGGAGGAGAGGGGGGAGAGGAGGGGGAGGAGGGAGGAGGAGGAGGAGGAGGAAGGAGGAGGAGGAGGAGGGAGGAGGAAGGAGGAGGAGGAGGAGGAGGAGGAGGAGGGGAAGGAGGAGGAGGGAGGAAGAAGAGGAGGAGGAGGAGGGGGAGGAGGAGGAGGAGAAGGAGGAGGAGGAGGAGGAGCTAGGTGCGCTCGCGCCAGCATCTACCTACTCATCCCTCCCATCCCGTCCCGGTGCGCTGATTTATTTCTCCATCCGCCAGCGGGTGTCATAGCGGACCTGGGCCACCCACCAGAACCCCAGCGCGTGGCGTACAATCTGAGAGGGGAGCTGTATACATCGGGGGAGGTGGCGGATAAGCAGGAGGATGGGCAGGAGGAAGCGGATAATGATGAGGAAGGAGGACGAAGATGAACAGCAGCAACAGGAGCAGGAGGAGAGGGAGGACCAGGGGAAGGGGGGGGAAAGGAAAGGAAGGGGTGAACCACGACGAGAAAGCATGCGGATCCCGAAATGTGGGCCGCGCTGCGGCGAGACTCCATCCTGAACGACTGGAGCAAAGCGCAGATCCTAAAACGAGGCCAGCGTTGCAGCGGAGGCACCATTCTGGAAGGACCGAGAATGTTCTGATGGCGGCGCGCACAGGGGGGTATTGGGGAGGGGGGAAGGCCTCCTAGAAGGAGGCTGCTTCCCAGAAGGCGCCGGCCCTGAATCCATAGACAAGACCCGCGTCTTCTAAGCAGGGGTGCTTCTAAGAAGCCTTCCCTCCTCACCCTACACCCCCCCTCGAAATCAAACGCAAGTTTTTCATGTTGGTCGACGCGCGAAAGGCGGTCCACAGGGTCAGGTTGTTGTGTCTGTAGTCACCATTTTCAGCGCGAGCATTGAAATTTTGAGGTCCTGGGCGCCGCCATGTCGCGGGAAAAACTGCGTTTGACTTCGAGGGGGATTGTACCCTCTCTGCGCGTGGCCGACTCTGATGAGAAGAGCACCAAAGATCACAAACAAAAAGCTGCGTCCCAATGCTGTTGGTTGTAGAAACGAAGCGCGGAGGGGGGGGGATGCGCCGCTCTCAGGGACGTCTTCGGGGGAGAAAGGAGGGCAGCATTCACAGTGTGCACAGTCGGCCCCTATCGTAAGGATGCGCGGTAAGGGTGCAAGGGCCTTGGACGCCCATCTCGACGCTTTGCGAGCCGGGCGCGGCCAACGAAAGTAACCAAGGATGGACCGAGGAGGCAAGGATGAAAGGGTACCCTTGGGAAGGATGCTCATCACGACTACGCGGGTTTTGAATGTATATTGTGTAACTGTGTGTATGGGAGAGAAGAGGATACGGTCGGGCCTAGGACAGAGGAGCATCCTGCAGGAACACGAGACACTCCAGCGGCCAAGACACACAGAACATCCGAGGGTACCCTTACCAGGATGCACAAGATCAGCCTACAAGCATAAAGAACCTTGAGGTGCCCTCCCCGAACCGACCTCAATCTTACACCTCGGTCCGGCTGCAATCGGCGGCGACCGACGGAGGGGAGTGAGAAGGAAGAGGCCTTCTCAGAAGGCGGCGGGGCTTCTCAGAAGCCGTCGCGCCTTCTGAACACTTCTCTGTGTCTTGGAGGAAGAAACCATCTCGGCTCCCGACCCGTTTCTCCGCACTCGCCGCCTTCACTGCTCGCGGCCATCGAGCGGGAACGGGCCACCACCTGGCGTGATGTTGGAAGAGTCGAAAAAACGTGTCTAGATTTCTTTTTGGGTGCGGGCGCTCGAATGAAACTGGAGGAGGAAGAACCGACCTCGTCAGCCGTGGCGCCTGTTGTGACACGAAGGGCGGGCTTCTACCAAATCCCGCCCAAGACACGCAGAGGAGAAAGCCGAGCCAAGCTCGACCACCTCCCTGGCCAAGGTGACATTACCAGCCTCGAACGTATCCCTATCCCTAAGATTGACACGCCAAAAGGCGATGACAATCTTAGGGATCCGCCCTCAAAAAATAAGGCAATCCCTAAGATGTTCATCGTGATGAGGAGGTGCCCAGCATAGGGATAAGGATATGACCCAGGCTGGTAATGACAAGCAAGTACTTGCACCCAGCCCCGGCAGAGACGCATCGCGAGGTCAGCGCAGGGCCCACGGGCACGGCACGGTGCCACGCCACGGCAGCACTGCCTGGCACCACGGCCCTACCAGACGCAGCACGACTCTCTTTGTGTTGCTGATTTCTTTTCGGCGGGGAGGAGGGGAAAGACAAGGTCAGGGAACTCGCGAAGCGACGCATCTCTCCAATCCGACTGCCAATCGCACGCACCCTCACACGGCCCGCCCGGCCCGATGCCAAAAACCCTGGGCTTGCGCAGCGGGGCACATGCACGTGCCACGGACTCGGTGCAGGAATAGTTGCACGAGTTGGACAACAGGATGCAACACAACTCTGTGTTAGCCAAACACTCAACACGTTGACGCACGGCACAACAAAGCACCGCAACAAGCCACAATACCACATCTTGGCACGGCACCGCACACGGACCTCATGCGCGCGAGCGATGCCCCGAGCCGCAGCCCTCCGTGAAGGCAATTCAACCCTGGCCGTCGCCGCTGCTAAGAATTCTCCAGCCGCTGCTCTCAGAGTGTGGTGTGCTAGGGGAAGAACGAGAAAGATGAGGGGAGGACGGGCAATGACAAATATTGAGGAGGAGCAGAGCATGACGGATGAGGATGGCCGAGAACTTCTTTACTATGGGTATATACCCATATACGTGGAGCGCTACACTACATAGCGGATGGGGGGACGATGCAAGAGGAGACAGAGGACGAGAATGCTGCGGGTGGAGAAGGGGGCGGAGGAGGCACGACGAGAAAAAGGATAAGGGAAGGTGGACGGCGAGAAGGGAAGAAGAGACGGAGGAGCAGCCGCAGAGAGGAGGAACGGCAGAGGAGAAACACGCAGGAGGAGGCGGACGAACGAACGGAGAGGCGGATGATGGGAAGGATGCAAGAGGCGATGGAAGAGGGACGGGGCGGAGGAAGGGGACAGGCGACGGGGATCCAACGGAACGATGCATGTGAGCCGCAGGAGGGACGAAGGGGGAGATGATGGAGAGGGATTCGAGTAGGGTCTGGGTATGAGAGAGAACATGTGGTGAGGTGGATGCAGGTGAGACAGATACGGACGAATTGGGATGGGGGGTGAGAAGATGAAGATGCAGGGATAGGAGGATGACCAGGAGCGGGGAATAATAGGGGCAGGAAGGAAGACGAGCAGGGATGACAGAGGCGAGAGAGGATCGGGAGAGAGGAAGAGAATAAAGTGGAGATCGACATGGAGGAGGAATGATGATTGGGCGGGCGATGTCTCAGACAACATGTTGTTGTGCGTATGCGTTTGGTGCATCCCTCCCTCTCTCGCTCCCCCGCCCGCTCGGGTGGCATTATCTCTCCCTCACCCTCTCCCTCTCCCTCTCTCTCGCACCCTCCCTCCCTCCCTCCATCTCTCTCTCTCTCGCGATCTACACCTATGTCTACATACGTGTGTGCACACATGCTTGCATGTGCCCCCCTGGCTGAACGTGTCCCTGCGCCTCCCATGCCTACCGATGTCTGCTTCCGACATCGTCCCCCGCGCGGGAAGGCTCCAGAGCGACGCTAGAACTTGATGTTCGGCTGCCTCCCTGTCCGCGCACCCGCGCAACACTTAGATGCAACGACATTGGTGTGGCACGTTTCGAGCAGGCAGGCGGGCAGGGCTTCGCGCGTTACAGTGGAGGCCCGACCACAAAAAACCATCCACTCGATACCCAACCCTGAGACCCCAGGGCGTCCATTGGTTCTTGGTGTGGGAACGCCACGCTTTCCATCGCAAGACCATCGAAGTCCAAGAAACCCAGGGCACCCCGGAGGCGAGCAGGGCGTTCGTTGGCCTGGGTGGGGCAAGCAGGGTGTTTCTTGGCAGGGGTCTCCACTGTAGATGCAAGGGTGTGGCACGGTTCGAGCAGGCAAGCGGGTAGGGCTGCGCGCGTTGGTGTGCGTCCGCCACGGGTTGCAACGGATGCCTGCCCCGCACGAGCCGAGAGCGAATGCCTGGTCTCGGCTGCCGCGGACAGAAGTACTCCAACGGCATGGCTCACTGCGATGATCCCTGGCATGCCCAGAGGAAGGAAGGATGAGGCTGACAATGATGAAGCGTGAGGGCCGGTAACGCAATGACAGGAGAAGGAGGAGGAAACCGTGACTAGCAGTGGGGAGGAAGACGGGGCAGGAACAAAGGCTGGAAGAGTGCAGTGAGGAGAGACGGCGAGGAGGATGGCGCGCTGTGTGCAGCAGCAGCAGAGACTGGCACGAGTGAGGATGGTGAGGGAGATGAGCAGCGGCATTTAGCAGCGGCGGGGAGGGAGGAGGGAGAGGAGCTGAGACAAGAAAGTTTGAGAAGCGCTCGCGCCGTGTCCCCACTCGGCGAGCGTGCTAAAGATTACTAAAGCCCTCGCTACACTGGTCAACAAAATGCAGTGCACCCCCTGCGCGCGCGTGGCTTCCCCACACTGTCTGACTCCTTGACCTGAGCCGCTCAAAAGTCGTCGTCGCCTCCACCGCCGCCGTCGTTCCCGACAGACGCCTGGGCCTCAAACATCTCCACGATCTGGTCGGCGCCTGTGGAATCCTCGGGGCCCTTGTCGTCGCGCACCCGGAGGAACCTGGGAAATCGGAGGCCGATACCCTTGCCATCCGCCTTCACACCGAACGCACTGGTGTGCACCGGGGAGATGCTCAGATCCGCCGCCTTGATCTCCCAGACCTGACAGGCCTCGAGCCAGACGTCGGGCTTTAGCTTGTCAGAGACGTTGTAATTGGATTCCCGTTCTTTCAGCACCCGGCCTTTGAAGAAATTGTAATGCGTGGCCAGATCTTCGTCAGAAAATCCAGTGCCTGCTTTGCACACCGTCTGGAACTCCTCCTCTTCCAAATTGTATATCGCCAACAAGTAAGCGCCATATGCGCCTGTACGCTTGCCCTTTCCGTAGAAGGCACCAATGGGAACTACGTCGATGCTGTCACCCATGCCGTCCATGTAGTCCTTCTTCAGCTTAAGCCAATTGATGCACCTTTTCGACGGCTCATAAATCGCGTTGTCAGTCAACGTCTTCAACATGAGCCCCTCACACGAGCCGGCGATCGACTGGTCCAGGAACTCCTGCACGTCCTCCTCCTTAAGCTCGTCAAAATTCCGAAAAGTGGCGAACTTGACCTTGCCCTCGGTCTCCGTGAGCGTCTTCCACAGCGTGTTGCGCCGCTCTTCCAGCGGTCTCTTCACGAGAGGCGTCCCGTTGTGGAGCATGAGGTCAAACGCGAAGATGCAGACCTGCACCTTGATGCTCTCTATCTGGATGTTCTTGCGCCCGCGGGTGCTCAGGATCTGGAAGGGAAGGATCTTCTTCGCCTCGGTTTTGGTTCGTTAATCACTGCTAATCTGAGTTGCGTCTATTTGCTTTTATTTAAACTATCGACCACCGTGCCCTGAGGCAAGAGTTGGAGTGTCCTCAGGTCCTTGGCCTAATCCCTTAAGCCTCACTCCTCCATCTAGCGGATTCTTGGAGGGGCCCGCGCCCCAGAAGGCCAAATCTTTCGGGGCTTCTCGCGTGCTCCTCCAGGACCCGGCGCGTCTTCCCGCATGGGCCTGAGAGGGCCCCAAGACGGGCCACGAGGACCCCAAATCATCCCGAATCGCGGAACAATCGGTCCAAGACGCTCACGATGGCCGAAGAGCGGTTGCAGAGGTGCCCAAGACGCCGCAAGAGCGGCCTGGGAGGCCTCGAAGGCCCCGAGAAGCAAACATCGTCGAATCCCCATCGGGGAACGTACATTTTTAGCCTGCACGGCGAATCGGTGTCACGACGGCCCAAGAGGCTCCCAAGATCTCGCCCCAAGACGGTCCAACAGGCCCCCACGAGGGCTCCAACACGGCCCAAAGACTGCCTAAGAAGCGACGGCCCAAGAGAGCCCCAAGACGGCCCGAAGAGGGGTTCAAAAGAGGGAGCCCGAGCCGACAATGCAAGCTTTCCGCTCCAAGATACCCCCAGGTGGCCCCGAGAGGCCCCCAAGACGCCGCAAGAGGCCCCCAAACGGCCCCGAAGGGGCCTGAAAGCTGCCTTTAACAGGCCCCCCACAACATCCCAACGAACATCCAAGAGGCCTATGACCCACAACCCAGGCACGGTGGCGGGATGGGCCGAGGGCCATAAGATCCGCCGCCCCCTGTGCATGTCACAGGGGTGCCTGGCGTGCTAGACACTACCGTTTTTGGTTTTGTTTTTTCCAACAGAACTCTCCCCTGGGGGTTCGGCCCGTCCCGCCGGCCACCCAGAAGGCGCCCTATCTGCCGAACAAAATATCCACAAAGACGGCCATAAGCCCAAGATGGTCTCCAAGATGCCACCAAGACGGCCAAGATGCCGTCCAAGACGGCCAAGATGGCCCCAAGATGCCTCCAAGACGGCCCAAGATGCAGCCAAGATGGTCTAAGATAGCCTCGAGATGGCCCAAGACGGCCCTATAGGCTCCCAAGAGGCCTCAAAGATGTTCCAAGAGGCCTCTAAGAGGGCCTCAAGGAAGGACCGAAGATGCCGAAATCACTGATTGTCGTGTGATTTTTGAATTTTGGCATGTGCTTCTTGTCGGCCTTCCGACGGCCCGAGACGGCCCAAGAGCCTCCAAAGATCGCCCCAAGATCGCCCAAGAGACCTCCAAGATGGCCCCAGAACGGCCCAAGAGGCCCCAAAGACGGCCCCAGGAGGGCCCAAAGACAGCCCAAGAGGCATCCAAGACGCCCAAGATGACCTCCAAGACGGCCCTGGAGCACCCCAAGAGGGCCCCAAGTCGGCCCAGAGAGGCCCCCAAGACGGCTTCCGACGGCGTCAGACGGGCCAGGATCCCACCAAGACGGCAGAGGCCTCCAAGAGGGCCTCCAGGAAGGGCCGAAGAGGCCAAAATCACTGATTGTCGTTAGGTTGTTGAAGGATTTTGGCATTTGCCTCTTTTCGGCCTACCGACGACCTGAGACGGCCCAAGAGGCCCCCAAGACGGGCCCCAAGACGGCCCAGGAGGCGTTTAAGACGCCCAACATGACCTTTAAGACGGCCCTGTGGCACTCCAAGAGGGCCCCAAGTCGGCCCAGAGAGGCCCCAAAGACGGTGTTTGACCGCGCAGACGGGCCATGAGCCCACCAAGACGGTTAAAGAGGCCTCCGAGAAGCCCCCGAAGGCCCTCAAGAGGCCTCCAAGAGGGTCCCGAGGGTGCTTCCGAGAGGCTCCCAGGAAACTCCCGGGAAGCTCCCAGGAGGCCCCAAGAGTGTCCCCAGAGGCTCCCAAGATGCCCCCTACTCCTCCTCCTTCCCCTCCTCCTCCTCCTCCTCCACCTCCTCCTCCTCCGCCTCCTCCTGATCTTCCCCGCCATCCTCCCCCAAGTGTTCCCCGAGAGGTTTCCACAACGGCTGGGGGAACACATAGTCCGATAGCTTGGCAGAGCTCTTGCCACAACGCTCGCCCACGTGGGCGATTCTAGAAGGCAGGGGGCGGCGGTGATTCGCCGAAGGCGTCTTCGATATTATTCGCCTCGAGATCGAAGGCCACGAGCTCGCTGTCGATGATGCAGCTCTGGACGCCCTCGCACAACGTCTCCCGGACCACCTTAATGACGTCGGGGTACTTCTCGGTCATGTTCTCCGAGTTGCGGCTGTAGACGTAGATCTCGTCTCGAGAGAGGACGTGGATCTGAGCCCGCTCCCCGTCGTACTTCCACTCCCCCGTGAAGCGCACGCCTGAGAGGCGCAACGCCACCTCGCCGATTCCCTTCGAAGGCTTCGCCAGCATCGGCTTCACGGGGACCCCGAGCGAGATACTGCAGACATCTGCCAGGGTCTTGGCATCTCGGCCCTCCAGGAGGGCACCGACCAGCTTGTCGATATTGGGCATCTCGCTGAAGGCTTGCCGTACCGCCGCATCCATCGCAGACATGGCCTCGTCCAACTTCTGCTCCGACAATTTGTGCGTGCCCTTGCGGGTGTCGGCCACCAGCGGGACACCCGAGCGGGCCGGCGACGTGAGCACGAATGCGTAGGCCAGAGCCTGCATCACTGTGGGGAGCTGAATGCCGATGCGCAACTTCGACTGGAACGTCCTTACGATATACTTTGCCTCCTCCTCTCGGCATGCCACGAGCAGCTTCTGGATCTTCTCCTTCTTCACCTTCTGCGACTCCTTGCCAGACGCGTGCGCCACAGCTCGCATCTCGCTGAAGACCTTCTCGATGGTCAGCTTCGCTGGCATCATGAGCCTCTTCTGAGACTGGGAACTCTGCAGAGCCACCTCCCCCAAGTCCTTGGCCTCTGCTGAGGCCATCATGCTCTTGATCTGCTTCTCCGACCTGCCGAAGGTTTCGCAGAGAGCGCGAATCACAATACTGTCGCCGACGCCAAGCTCAGCCTCCTCGTAGTCCGGCGCCACCTTGTTGCTCAAGATGTAGATGGTAGGCGCCAGGTCCTCCGGCCTCGAGTGTATCAAGGTCCGGAAAAGGTTGCTGAGAATGACGGTCATGACCTTCCGCGAGCCCTTGCCGCTGTGCTTCAACGCCTCGATCTCCTCTCGCGGGCGACGAGCATGTCCACACTCACCCACGCCCTCGCGGTCTGGACACCGACAGTCGCGATCCAATACAGTCGGGGCGTTGACCTAAGGAACCCTAAATAAGGAACGAGGCCCCTTTTTTCCATAAGTTAGCCTTCGATTTCCGGTCGAAACCATGAGGAAAGCCTGAGGCAAGCTGTGAAACAGTTAAGGAACGCGAAGCCCCTCCCCAACGAAAAGGGTTCCTTCTTCAGGGCCCCGACTGTAGTTTCGCGCTCCTATGGAGGCGCCCCCCGCGCGGGACGGCCGGGCAGCGCCACCCCGTGCAGCAGAGGCCCGGCCACAGGGCGCCTCCCACGGGAAGCCCCAAGCCGAGGCCCTATAGGACGTCCGCCGACCTTGCCCGGTGTGGGAGAACACGCCGCGCCCTCCTCGGCGAGAGACCACCGAGGCGAGCAGGGCGCGCCCTCGAGGCGCCCTCGAGGCGAGCAGGGCGCGCCCTCGAGGCGCCCTCGAGGCGCCCCGGGCGCCCTCGAGGCGAGCAGTGGGTGCGTCTTGGCACGGGCCTCTGCTGCATCCCAGTGTCGGCGGTGGACAAAGCCCCCTGTAGTAAACCTCCCCTTAGTGAAAACGGCCTGCGGCCGAAACCCGCGGACCTGGACCCGCAAAAATGACGGCCGCGACGCCCTCTCGCGAACCGGCAACGGCCACTTCACTAATCGACGTGTCAGGGTAGGAGGTCTGTCCACCCCCAACAGTGGGGGTCGCCGGCCGAGGGGCCCAGACCGCGAGGGGCCGCAGAAGGTGGCCTCTGCTTGCCGCCCACGAGGCGGGGGCGCGCTCGCCCCGGAGGCCCCTGCAAGAATCTTCCGCGGGAGGCCCAGAGGAGAGGAGGAGAAAGAAGGAAGAGAATCGGGAGGAGGAGGAGGAGGAGGAGGAGGAGGAGGAGGTGGAGGAGGAGAAGAAGAGGAGGAGGAGGTGGAGGAGAGGAGGAGGAGGAGGAGGGGGGGGGGAAAGGAGGAGGAGGTGCGGGCGCTGCAGACTCTTCGAGCCGGCGCTTGCGCCTCCTCCCTTGGGCCCCGGGGGCCCTCGCAGCTCGACCCAGGCTCGGAAAGGAGGACGGGTCCCTCCTCCTCCTGCTCCCCTCCTCCTCCTCCTCCTCCTCCTCAACCTCCTCCTCCTCCTCCTCCTCCTCCTCCTCCTCCTCCTCCTCCCCTCGTCCTCCTCCTCCTTCCTCCTCCGCTCCTGCTCCTCCTCCCCTCCTCCTCCTCCTCCTCCTCCTCCTCCTCCTCCTCCTCCTGGGGTCTCGGGCTGGGGCCTTGGGCTCGGGGCCGGATGCTTCAACGGCGCTGGGGCTCTCCCGCCGCGTCGGCTCTCGGGGCACCCGGGTCGGCTCCATAACCCGGGCCGGCCAGCCCCGAGGGCCCTGGTGGCGAATGAAGGGGAACTGAGACACACAAATAAATACACACAAATAAACATATCCCCCATATTTTCCCATATTTTCTGGGTTTTTGTCTTCCCCCTCACTTCCCATATTCTCCCATATTTTCTGGGAATCGACGATTAATTGTGTCTGTGTGTTTTTCCCCCTCCTGAGCGAAGCGCGGCGGGCCGCTTGGAGCAATTCCCCTTAAGGCAGCGCGCACAAGGGCGTCGGGGGAGGGGGGAGGGCTTCTCAGAAGCAGGCTGCTTCTCCGAGGGCGCCGGCCTGACGTCTATATAGATGAGGCCCGCGCCTTCTGAGAAGCAGGGGGTGCCTCCCAGAGGCCCTCCCCCCTCCCCGCACCCCCCTCTGCGCGCGGCGGGTCCCCAACCCTGGGCCGGCGGCGGGCGGGGTAAGATGGAATGTACATGTTGGCCCCACGAGGCTCCCCAGCACGGGCCAGCCAGAGGGTCCGGTGGCAACACGTGGGACCCTCCCATGCCATCCAGTTGGCTCTGCGCCAATCTGAAGGGAAACTGGGACACACAAATAAATACACACAAATAAAAAGATTCCCTATATTTTCCCATATTTTCTGGGTTTTTGTCTTCCCCACCACTTCCCATATTTTCCCATATTTTCGGGGACATCGACGATTAATTGTGTCTGTGTGTTTTTTTCCCTCCTGACAATCGACGCTCACGAACACGAAATCGGCGCCGAATCACCGATCACCAAGCGCTGCTCGCAACTGCTGCACTCCGGAGGGCATGGCGAGGGATTGCAACGCCTCGGTGACCTGCGACCGACAGAGGGGATTGGCTGACCCCCAGTAGCGTTATGTCGGGCTTGTCCCCCTACAGGGGGATTTTCTACGAAACAATTTAAAAATACCCCCAAAATATACCAAAAAGGCCAACAAATGCTAAAAAGAATAGTCCCCAGACCATTTTTGGATTATTTTTTGATTATTTTGGGAGTATTTTTTGTGTTTCGTCGAAAGTCTCCCTGTAAGGGGACAGGCCCGACTTAACAGTAGCGCCCACCCCCGCCACGTGAGCCCCGACGATGATCCCTGAGAGCGCCAGACACCAGCGCAAAGCCCACGGGCTTGCCCACCGGGTAGTCTGCGGCCCGCAGCGCGGGGTCGAAGGCCGCGGACGAGAGCGCCACCAGGCTGGCACCGGGCGCGCTCCTCCAGAGCGACATGGGGCCCGTGTCGCCGCTCGACCTCAGTGTTAAGTCGGGCGTGTCCCCGGGATTTTCGACGAAAAAATGAAAATACACCCAACTTACTCCAAAAAGGCAAAAGTAGATTCAACAAAATAATCCCCAGACTATTGTTGGAGTATTTTTGGACTATTTTGGAGGTGCTTTTTATTTTTCGTCGGAAATCCCCCTGTAGGGGGACACGCCCGACATAACCTTAGTGCAGGATCAATCCGCATCGAAGCGGGACATCGGGGGGGATTGGAGTGTCAGTCGGGTCGGCCTGCGTGGGCACGAAATCGACACCGAATCGGATCGGCGGCGCCAGGATGCACGACAACGCCGTGCAAACATCGGGCCGCGCCGGATCGGCGGAATATAGGATTGCAAAAAAACCCAGGATTGCAAAAAAACCTAGGATTGCAAAAAAAAAACCTTAGTTGCAAAGAATGGCAACAAAAAAACAGGATTGCAAAAAAACCTAGGATTGCAAAAAACGTAGGGTTTTGTTTGCAATCCTTCGTTGGGTTTTTTTTGCAATCCTTCGAATCAAACCGGATCGGGCCAATCGGAATCGATATCGAATCGGGTCGATCGGATCGGAATGAACCCTGCCTTCGTGGGTCCTGGACATGGTCGTTTTTTTGTTGCAGCACAACGTTCAGCAAAACGCCACCTCTCGATCGTGAAAGCGGCGCCATGAACGGTTCACCGGCGCGCCAACAAAAATTGACCGAACCAGCCTGGGCATTCGGGAAATCCGAACGCCCTTCGGAACCGGCTCGACAATGGCTCGGACTCGGCAAAAAGCAAGCACGGTGCGATCTGGAGCAGGCCCGCCCCAAGGGAAACGCAAACGGACCAAGTACGCCAGAAGCTCCAGCCAACAACGCGCCTGCAACGGTACAAAACACATGAGCATCGGGGGCGTTTCAGCGGGGTGTGTCCAAGGGTTATGATGCTCCAACCTACTTTAGCGTTGGCCACCAGGAAGAATCTCAATCGGCCAAAAGAGTTACCCAAAAATCCAAGGTTTTCACGTGTCGGGCCCTGGGAGACACTCGCCCGACACTGCTTCGACACTCTTTTGACACTTTTCTGGGTGCTCGGAACTATTTCTGGGATGTGGTCCTCAAGTCGGACGGGAGCAACATAGTCCAAGGGCGGGGGGGGGGGCGCAGATCGTGGCCCGAGTCCCGTGCGCGGCCCAGGAGGGGGCCGAAGGACGTAGCGAAAATAGCAGAGCAGGAACCACGAAGCGCGCGGAGATGCCACAGCCCCGGCCACGATGCAGTCCCAACAGGGGTTGTGGAAGTCGATTACTAGGAGGGGAAGCATGCTGCCAAATAATTTCCAGATGTCCCAGAGATGCTTCAAACCTGCTTCCAATATGGTAAAGACATGTTTCGCACGCTTCTAGAACGTGTTTTACACATGTGAAACACATCTCTAATTCAATGATAGGACTGTTGGAGTGTCCACTGCGGTGGCATCCACAAAACAAGGGGGCCAGGACGCGGGTCGAGCACATGGGCCCCCTCGCCGAGAGCCCCAGGGCCCCGAGAGAGCACGGGGCCCTGCGCCGACAGAGCCCAGGACCCCCCACGGAGAGACCCCAGAGGAGCAGAAAAAAACACTCCAGGGTGGAGGGCCCCACGGCGAGGAGCCGGAGAGGGCACCCGTCCCAAACTGCAGTCGGCCTTGCTCGGACAGGCCACGCGAGAGGACACGAGACCCTTCCGAGGGCCACATCGCCATAGGGGTGTAAGAAGGCACGTGTCACGAGGCACAGGACACAAGGGTACCCTTATGTTGGGCGTGTCCCCCCCTACAGGGGGATTTTCGACGAAAAATTAAAAACAAATGCACCAACAATGCTCCAAAAAGGTCAACAAAATTAAAACATGATCCCCAGACTATTTTTCAAATATTTTTTTACTATTTTGGAGAATCTTTTATTTCTCGTCGGAAATCCCTCTGTAGGGGGACAGGCCCGACTTCAGGGCACCCTTGAGCTGGCAGGGTCGACCTACTGATCCGGGCTGGCTGTATGGTTGTGTTCGCCCCTCGTGCCAGCTGCACCTCCCACCTAACATATTAGGGCCGGGCACGTCCTCCTACAGGGGGGGAGCTTGGAAGGAGCATGAATGGGGGAACAAACAGTGACATAAACATAAAACCTCTGAGTTGTTATGTTTACGTCACTTGTTGTTCCCCTAATGAAACATGCTCAAGCAGAATCAAACATAGTAGAGCAACCACCCCAGACTAATTCTTGCTATTTTTGAGCGTTCCTCTTGTAGAGGGACATGCCCGACCGACCGAAAGCAAAAATTGGGAACCGAACTCGACACACCGATGCTTGTTGCGGCCCTGCACTGTAACTTGCACAGGGAAGCGGGTCCTTGTGTATACGGGGTCCTGGTGTATACGTTTCCCGTCGCTTCCCCGGGAAAACGGGGAAACAGGTATACACCACACCACCCCGACGTCGCCCCCGACCGCAACAAAAATCCGGGAACTGAAAAACAGCCCACCACTGGTATCAGGGATGGACACACCCCCCTTTCGAAAAACGTGGTCTAGTGAAGACGACCTCGGGCCCCAGACCTGGCGGGCGCAGGCCTGGAAAAGCACGGCCGCGGCGCCCCATCGAGAACCGACCACGGACAGTGCACGAATCGACGTGTCAGGGTGGGGGTTCTGCCCACCCCCGATGGTCATGCGGGGTGACGATTAATTAAAAAAGGGAGAGAACGATGAAAAACATAGATTTCTGCTATTTCTGCACAGTTTTCTGACTGGAGGCGGAGGAGGAGGAGGAGGAGGAGGAGGAGGAGGAGGAGAGGAGGAGGGAGGGGAGAGGAGGAGGAGGAGGAGGAGGAGGAGGAGAGGCGGAGGAGGAGGAGGAGGAGGAGGAGGAGAGGAGGAGGCGGAGGAGGAGGACGATGACAGATGCTCCAATTTCCGACCCAACAAAAAACACGGCCCGGCCGTGTTCCCCGGCCGCCCGCCGAGCGCCCGACCCGCCGGGCGCCGCCGCCGCGCCCGCCGCCTCGGGCGGCGGCTTCTGCGCCGGGGCGGCGGCCGCCGGGGCGCCGGGCGCGCTGCCGCCGGCGCCGTCCACCTTCGGGGGATGCGGCGGAAAGGGCGTCGGTCTGCACGGGGGGTGTGGTCTGCGGCCCGCGCGTCGGGGGGGGGCTGCTCGGCCTCCTCCTTCCTCCTTCCTCCCTCCTCATCCGCCTCCTCCTCCTCCTCCTCCCTCTCCTCCTCTCCTCCTCCTCCTCCTCCTCCTCCTCCTCCTCCTCTCCTCCTCCTCCTCCTCTCCTCCTCCTCCTCCTCCTCCTCCTCCTCCTCCTCCTCCTCTCCTCATCCCTCTCCTCCTCCTCCTCCTCCTCCTCCTCCTCCTTCTCCTCATGTTCTTCCTCCTGTTCTTGCGGGGCGCGGACCTCGAAAGAGATCTCTGCACGCGCCCCTTCGAGGAGGGCTCTCAGAGACCTCCCAGATGGGGTCCGAGCAGATGCGGCCCGAGGATCTCGCCGAATCGCCGACACATCGGCGACGCATCGCCGATGCATCGGCGATGCATCGGCGATGCACTGGCGACGTCGGCGACGCATCGTCGCCGTCGGCGTGGAGAAGATTGGGCTCCGCATCGAGCCGCATCGGCGATGCATCGGCGATGCGGCGCGATCCTCCGACCCCTATCCACTCGGACCCCCTTTAGCAGGCCTAGAGTCTGGGGAAGGGGGCGAGCGCGGACCTCGGAAGAGATCTCTGCCGCGCCCCATACAAGGGCTTCGGCCCGACGCGACGGCCCCCCCTGAGCCACAAGGGCGCCGATCGCAGACCACACTCCAGCGTAGCCACACCCGAGGGCGGCTACACGAAACCAGTGACCCCGGGCAAGAGCGACCGTTGGTGCTCGGCGCCGGGGGGCCGCGGGGGGGCCAAATCCGAGCGTACAGGCCAACGCTGGGAAGACCCCATGTGAGCTCGAAGCGGTTGTGGGAAACACTTCTGTGCATATCCGCTGCAGCTTGCAGCGTCGGGCTCCCTTTCCAGAAACCCGAGGCGCACTGGATATGGGTGGAAACCAGCCCCTGAGGAGGCTCGATTTGTATGCGTGTCAAGTGCGCCTCGGCTTTGTGGCACCCCTGTCCAAGACGCACTGGATATGGATATAAATCTTGCCCGCAGTAGAGGGCACTCTGGCGAACAATCACTCTTGCGTGCAGCCGGCCGTTGTGGTCCCCGACGTCCGGTGATCCAATTCCGATGCGTGGACCGCTGGAGGTCTGGACCACTTCCCTATAGGGCCAGGTTTTCATTTTCCCGGGCCTCGTTTTTCGACAATGCCCCAGATCATTGGATGCACATGTTCTTTCGGTCGCGAGCGGTAGCGACCGATCGGCACTCCAAATCGGTCGCGACCGATCGCGGCCGATCCCAAAATCGGTCGCGGCCGGTCGCCACCGATCGCGGCCGATCGGTCGCGACCGATGTTGAAGCAAGTCGGTTGCGACCGATACCGAAATCTGAAGCAAAATCGGTAGCGACAAATCTCGTCGTTTGCGGCTGGGAAATTCCAATATCCAATGATCAGGGTCTGGGGCCTGCCAATGAGGGCCCCCGGAGGCCGAAAGCAGTTCAAAACCCGCCGCTCTAAGTGTTTCTGAACATCTAGAGACCTCCTTCATGGGGTCCGAGTAGATGGGGTCGCCGCATCGCCGATACATCGGCGATGCATCACCGATGCATCGGCGATGCATTGGCCATGCACTGGCGACGTCGGCGATGCATCGGCGACGCCGGCGTGGAGAAAATTGGGCCCCACATCGAGCCGCATGGCCGATGCATCGCCGATGCATCGGCGACGCACCGGCCCTGCGGTGCGATCCTCCGACCCCGTCTGCTCCGACTCCATCTCGGAAGCCTGGAGCACGGGCTCTCTGGGTCCCCATATTTTCCCATCTTTTCTGGGCTTCTGTCTTCCCCCCCACTTCCCATATTTTCCCACATTTTCCTGGGAGTCGACGATTCATTGTGTCTGTGTGTTTCTTTCCCTCCTGATCTCTGGGTCCGCCGACACCTTCCGCCGCTTCCCCGTGCCCTCCGGCGTGGCGTCGTCAGCGGGCGGCGGCTTCGGCTCCGGGGTGGCCTCCGCGGGCTGCTTCCGGGCGCGCCCCTTCGGGGGCATCTCCCGGCCGAGTCCCGCCGCGCCCAGGCGCGCGCGGGTGCCCGCGGGCGGGAGCCGGATCGGCTTGAATCAAACAGCTGGGGCCAACATACGTCGGCCGAGGGGAGGGGCCCTGATCCTCGAATGCTGGAGCTTTCAGGCCGAAAACACCGAGATCGGTCGCCGCCGCTTTTGCTTCAAATCGCTGCCGATTCAGTCGCAACCGATTGGTCGCGGTCGGTCGCGAACGGTCGCGGATCTTTCGCGCCGATGGGAGGGTAGGGGGAGTGAGAGAACAAACCCGCATCTGACAAGCATCTGACGTCAGACGTTTGTCAGATGGGAGTTGTTGCGAGTCCGACGTCTGCCCGATAAATACAATACTCCCCCTCCTCCTCACGCGTGAACTGCGGATCTGACAAACGTATGACGTCTGACGTTTGTAAGATGACATGATCCTCTTCCTCATTCCACTCTCCTCCCTCCTCTCCTTCTGAAAACGGTCGTGGTCGGTTGCGATCGGTCGCGGTCGCGACTCCCCGATACCGCCCCGCGACCCTCCAGGGCGGTAGCCGGTGCCAACTTCTTCTTTTTAGCACGCTTTTATCAGGACGCCCGGCATAGCCTTACGTTTCCCCGAGAAGTGCACGTCCTCGAGTCTTACGTTTCCCCGAGAAGATCCCCCATGTTTTCCTATAGTTTCTGGGTTTTTGTCTTCCCCCCCACTTCCCATATTTTCCTATATTCTCCGGGGGATCGACGATTCATTGTGTCTGTGTGTTTTTTCCCTCCCGAGCAGTGCACCTCCTCTCCCCGATTAGGGACACGCCCGACATTTGGCGGCGCGCACAAGGGGGTGGGGGGAGGGGGGAGGGCTTCTTAGAAGCAGGCTGCTTCTAGAAGGCGCCGGCCTTACATCTATAGATAAGGCCCGCGCCTTCTAAGAAGCAGGGGTGCTTCTCAGAAGCCCTCCCCCCTCCCCCCCCCCCTCTGCGCGTGGCTGAGACACAACCTTACGTTCCCCCGAGCAGTGCACCTCCTCTCCCCCCCCGGAGCCACACGGTGCCCGGGCCGGCGCGGGGAGGCGCCGAGAGCCCGCCGCGCGGCCCGAGGAGGAGAGATCCCGACGGCGCGCGCGCCGCGGCAGGAGGAAAGGCTCGCGAAAGGCGCGGGAGCGCCGCGCGCTCGCTCCGCATAGCAAGGGGCCCAAGGGCACACAAATAAATGCACACAAATAACAGGATCCCCCCTATTTCCCCATATGTTCTGGGTGCACTTCCCATACTCTCCCATCTTTTCTGGGAAGTCGACGATCAATCGTGTCTGTGTGTTTTTTCCCCTCCTGGGCATAGCAGAACCATCGAGAGGCCCAGGGCAACCTGGAGGCAAGCAAGGTGTCCCCTGCCATGGGCCTGCACTGCACCCCTCCTCCCCTCCCCTCCCCCGAGAGCCGGCGGCGAGGCCCCGGAAACGGCAGGGCCGTTTTTGTCACCGTTTCCAGAAAAATGCCCCTTGAAAACGGAAACGGCAAAAAAACGGCGACCGGAGACGGCAAAAAAACGGCTCCAGGATTGGAACCGGAGCCGGAACCGGTAACAAAAACGGCGACGGAACCGGTAGAACAACGGCGTCGGAACCCCCTGAAGGCCCTGCGTAGTTAGTAACAGTTAGCGGAACTTCTAATTGTTATTAACGGAGTTATAACTAGTTAGGTTTGGCCAGTTTGAAGCTGTTTTGTTAATGTTTATGTTATGTTTTTGCATCTCATGTAGTTGGAAATTGGGGCATCATGATTGGGCGCTTCGTCGATTTGGATCTGCTCAGGGGCCTTCAGATTTTTTTATCGTCCTGGGGCAAACGCGACGGTCCGCAGCGCATCATGTTAGCAACATCGCGATTTGTATTCTACTGGCCAAATGCACGTGATGTCGTTCTCTATTTTCCTGTAAAGCACAGGAGCTTTCAGCGAGGTCAGAGGCATCAGAACAGGGTCTGTATCATCTAAAAAGATGTGTCTGGAAAAACCTTCAGCGGCGTTCACATGCTTAGTTGCAAGCTGCTGGACAAGCACCTGCGACTCGCCATCGTCGCATTTCACGTGAAACCACACTTGCATTGCTGCATGCATCCCGCCCGACCCCAGAAGAACGATATCACCGCGCTTGATGCGGCCGAAATCTGTCATGGCTTCGATGCTGGAGACGGCCGTCTGCGTCCCAGGGCACATGCGTTTCAACGCATTCAGCAGCTTCTGTGTTGCTTTCGTTGGGTCGACTAAGCCAGGTGAAACACGCATGGTCTTTAAATCGTGCGCGTGCTGCGCAGTGAGTTGGACCATGAGAGCCTTCTCTGGCCCCTTCTTGCACATGTGGTCGTTGGCGAAACGTTTTACGTTTTTGTGCTTGCGTTCCTGGACAAAGCAACTGAACGACCCATGTTTTTCAAACATTTCTGGAAAATGTGTTGCCATATGGTGCTTATACACCCAATAGCTTTCACCATATGCGTCCTGATGGCACCGAAGATGTTTCACTATCGCTGACTCTATCTGCGCGGTCGTGACTGGAAGCCGCCGCGCCGCCGCGATGATTATGTCAACGGCATCTTGCAATGCCAGCCTACTTGCGATCTGGGGGGCCACTTGATCCGATGAAGGATGCATGGCAATTACTTGCCGAATATACCTGCACAAAACAGGCAACGCAGAGATCTCTTCTGAGGCACTTGCTTGGAGCTCACCAGTCCCCCATACAGTTGCGGCTGAGTGGTGTTTACTCGGCCACGTCCACTTCATGAAATACTCATGCAACTCCTTTGCATCACACAAACACTTGAACTGCGCATGCCCTAAAAGTGCTTTTACTTCTCTGTCGAATATACCAGACACAAAATAAATATGCATCAGTCAAAGCAAATGAATGACGCAGGGAGATATCGCAAACCTGGGTCCAGCGCTATGTGTTCGGGGTGGAAGTTCCATCCTTTGTGCTGTGTGATGGTCGTGAACTGCCCCTCTGAAAACTCCCCCCGCTGATATTTATCCCAATCGGGTCGAAGTCGTTCCAGGATCGCGATGATTGTCGCGTCATCGTTTCTGCGTATCTTTGACGCATCCAAGCGCGCGCCTGTCACAAAGAAGCCAGATACATCATATGTCAAATAATCAAACTTTCTATTCAAGACGTTGCGACATAACGCACAGGGTTTGGAACCAGCGTGCCCTTTGTTCATGTGTAGTTCCCGCAATGCCTCTTCGTCCCCTATGACGCACGACAGCTTCGCGACGATCGTCGCGTGCGACGATGCGTCGCCGTTCTCTGACACGTCTAATGTAACACCGCTCGTCTCAAAATTGAAACCACCAGCAGAATTAAAAAAAACTTCTTTGAGGGTCATCTTGATGCACTGCCCGATGCCACCTGGGATGCTTTTTATTTTTGCGCACCGCGCAGTGCTAAGCGTGAACCACGCATCTTCGTTACCCAAGGACTCGTCGAACTCAGCGAACGACCAGTAAACAGCATCAACCCCCCGATAATCTTTTCCCTTCGCCAGGGGGTCTCGCGGTGAAATACCATCGAAATATAAAATGATGTGCCACGGCGACGCCAAGCTGCATGGGTGCTCCTGAAGTGAGCGGCGAAACATCTCCCTGACTGGAGCGCTAGCCTTGCAGCAGGAATACAAAAAATGGCCCAGGACAGCACACCCAGTTCTCGAAAGTTCTACCACTGACTAAAGGCGTGTCTATGCAACGCAAGACGTTCCCATATGCGTTCGACTCTTTGGCAATGATGGTTTCGTTTGCCCTGTATTGTGAGCTCCGTGAAATATTGTCGGGCAACCCATGGTCTCGCACATATTTTAGGACACCCGACAGAGCACGCTGTGACAGGTATGAGCCCCTGTGGAGCTCCACCAGCGCCTCATCCGCCTTGCGTTTCCTGGCGGCGGACGCGGCCATGGTTTCAGCCCAAATGGCTACAGACTCGATAACGATGCCAATGCGCATCATAGGATGCATGCGTCGCGTTATGGTAGGGGCAAGCTGCATGATGCATCTGAATGCAAAAATAAAAGAAAAGCGAGGCGGTAAGATCACAACATAAAAAAAAAAAAGAAAAAAAAAAAAAAAAAAAAAAAAAAAAAAAAAAAAAAAAAAAAAAAGAAAAAAAAAAAAAAGAAAAAAAAAAAAAAAAAATAAAAAAAAAAAAAAAAAAATAAAAAAAAAAGAAAAAAAAGAAAAAAAAAAAAAAAAAAAACAAAAAAAAAAATAAAAAAAAAAAAAAAAAAAAAAAAACAAAAAAAAAAAAAAAAAAAAAAAAAACAAAAAAAAAAAGCGCAACGTGCATAACGATGCAGATGGCATGATACGACGTCGCATCAGAAGGACATGTAGGTGCATAGTGATGCATACGAAGTGCGACGGTAGCTCGCGAGAGAAAGGAGTGTTGCATATTGATGCATGCGACTTGCGATGAAAAGATCGCAACAGACTTGTGTTTTAGACATCATGGTGCAACGTCATACAAGCAAGAGAGAGTTCGTCGATGTGGCGCCGCCCACCGCCGCGCTGCAGCTGCGATGCGAGCTCCCAGCCCTGCTGGTCCCCAACAACCCCCTGGTCCCCCCCCCTCCCCGCGTCGAACACCTAACACTTGGCGTCGATCCACGCCAGCGCCGCGCTCCAAGCCTCAATGCGATTCATCGTCGCATTGCTGTCGAAGCGGACGCGGCGATCTGCCCTCCCCACAACGGCCCTGAACACCTTCTGTGAAGGCTTGTAGATCACGTAGCCGCACCTGTACGGCGCGTTGCACTCGCACGTCGGCGGCTTGGGCAGCACGGCGGGCTTTGGCACGGCAGCTGCGGGTCGCCGCATGGCAGGGGGCCGCGCCTTCTTCATTGGCACAGCCCCCTCGGCGTCTTCGACGCCTGCCCCGCCCTCGGCGTCACCGACGCCATCGCCAGCCGCGGAGGGGCGCTTCCTCGCCTTGGCGGTCTTGGCCTTCTTGGCGAGGAGCGCCCTGAGCTTCTCCTCCTCGTCGGTCAGGTCTGGCTCGGGCTCAGCGTCGCGCGGCTCATCACGCGGCTCCTCGCGCGGCGGAAGCTTCGGCTCCTGCTGCGG